ATGGAGGAAAGCTTTCACAGAGGGCTGTGTGACTCTAGCATGTTTCCCATCCCTTCCATGAGGACTCTAGCAGTAGACTGTTTATGTATTGATAGCCATTACAAGGAACTGGTGCTGAGATTTCAAAAAGCCCAAAAAAAAGTATGCCTGTACAGCTCCAGCTTCCTCAGATCTTATTTGACAGAAGCAGTCTTTCTTGTGTGCTCCAGAGCTGGTGATAAGCATCACGTGACGGACTGCTACAGGGAGGGAACTGCCAAACCATCTATAACAAAAATCCTGATTGCAGGGGCGGGGAAATAAAAATCAGTGTCTTCCAGGTGGAGAGGGGAGAAGGAACCACAGGGCTAAGCTACCATATGTAAGTTACACAGTAAGGGCAAGGCCTGCAACTGCAGCCAGAGGAGAACCACCATGATGTGAAGCCTTCATACTAAGTGACTAGATAGGGGTTCAGGCCTAGGCTTAGCTGGAGATTCCCTGGGATAAGCCACTGTGCTTACAGTACCTGCTTTTACAGTAGGAACAGGAAGCTGTAGGAACAGAATTACTGAGCAGTGACGCTATGGAAATACCCGTGGCAGGAGGTGTAGGTCAGAGTACCATGCAGCTTCTGGTGGCACCAAGCTGCCACCAGCTAAACTGGGTACGTCCAGCATCATACACAATTCCCAAGTTCCAGTTCCTCTTAGGCTTGGAGTAGAGATAATTTATTAGACTTTTCTGCATTAAAACCTGACAGGCAGTATAAAAACTTTTAACTGTATTTAAAAACACTGATTCTTTAAAAACACTGATTATCTTAAAAACTCCCAGCGTGGCTGGGAGTTAAGGAGGTAAGCGCTTAAAGAAAAAATCTAAAGTTCTTGTCACACCTTCTCTGGGTCGTTTTGCACTAGATCCTGCTGGAGTCTTGAGCTTGTTCTTTGCCTTGGCAGGAGACCTGGAAGCTGCAGCCTTTGGGGTGGGAGCTGCTGCTGGATCTGTGGGCGCGCTGGGCTCCAGGAAGGAGCTTTGCAGCTCCAGGGCAAAGTGGTAGTCCATGTGCTCTGGGAACTCCCACACCAGCACGAGCTGGCCGCACTTCTCACAGCGCTGCTGGTCCCCTGGCGAGGCAGGAGGGAGCAGGGCGAGCTCAGGAGAGGGTGGCAAATTCTGCTCATTTCCTTCCATAGCTGGCTCTAATTTCAGAAGGGTCCTGGAGCTCGGTGGAGTCGAGGGTGTTTGTGTAGCATCAGACAGCGACTTCTCACAGGGAAGCCACTTGTAAGGAGAAGTAGGGCTCCCATCTCTGGGACTCTGCTTCACAGGGGACTCCAGGTCACACTGCACAGAGGCAAGTCCAACGGCATCTCTCTCTTGGTGCTCTGGAGAGCTGGGTACAGCTGACTCTGCAGAGGTAGCAGTGGGCAGGCTGGTTGCTGCCGCCGTCTGTGACTGCTGCCTTTCTGCCGCCTTTTGGAAGAATGACTCAATAGCATTAGCTGGCTTCTGTCTAAGCTCTTTGCTTGGGCTCCTAAAGAACTTGACCCTGGGCCTCCTAGAAGATGTGGCATTTTGGCTGGCGGTGGCAGTGCCATCAGGCTGGGTATCACTCGTCAGGAAAGTGGCAATGCCTGCAGAGAGGAGTGTGGCAGGCTCTGAGAACTTGCTTGCCGAGAGAAGCACCGATATGAGTGGTGGAGACCTGCAAAGGACGGACCAACATCAGCTCAGACACCAGCCTGGGAAGCAAGAAGTCTTTTGAGGTGAGACTTTTAAGCAACATAAAATGTTCGCAGGCAGGGGACAGGGGAACTGCAGTCCAGGTATCTGGCAAGGGGTGGAAGAGATGTTTCTTCTGACAAAATGTTAGTATTGCTACCTCCAGGACAGTCTCACAGACATAGCAGGCTGTGTTGCGCAGAGCAGAAAGCCTCTTCCCAGAACAGCATTTCCCAAAGGAAAGGGCACTGGAGCAGGGGCAGCCGGCCTGGACTTTCAGTCCACCACAGGCCAGAGCTGCTGTGAGACTCCCAGGCAAGGTGAGAGGGCCTTAAGGGAGCAGCAGTCTTGTCGGAGCCGAACGGACAGGACCTTCTTGCCTTAACTATGCCTCAGCCTTCACTGCAGAGCCGGAGGAAGGAAGGAAGTAATGTTGAATACGGGAGCTGTGCACCTTAGTTTTCCTTCCTGCCCCAATGGCCTCTTCCCAAAAAGCACCT